CAGCATGTTATTCCATGAGCTGTTTGTTTTCAGCCATGCACTTCTGCCATGACTCCTGCCTTAGAACTAGACTGAAACCTCTACAAACTGTGAGCCAAAATAAACCTCTTTCTCCTTAAATTGTGGGTATCAAATATTTTGTCCCAGCAATGAAGAAAGTAACTCAGATAGTATATAACTAGAAATTTCTGGGTTTTGTGTAAACTTAACTTTAGTAGATAATGGCAAGTTTTCTTATTTGTGTTAATTTGTACTTTTACCAACAATTGATGAGAGCTCTGTGCCAGTCTGTTGCATGTGTAGTGGTAGTTTACCATAATTTTTAAGATTTGTGTTTACTTCTTTGTCATTGTTTTACTATTTTGTCTAGATTCTGCTTAACATTCTTATGAAAATTAATACAAATTATTAAAAGTACTTCTATTGTTTTCTGGAAACATGGTGCCCTTAGCACACACTAAACATTTTCCTGCTTTTGGTGCTGTTTTTCATATTTTAAAGTGGTTTCTCTGATTGTTAGCATCTTTAAACAATTGATCCTTGTTCATATTTACTCACACTTTATTTTTTGTTCCTCATTATTTCTCTGTCCTTTCATATGATGTTATTTTCTTCTTAAAGTATTCAGTTTAGTATTTCCTTTAATGAGAACCCCCTAGTGATGGTTTCCTCAATTTTTGTGTGTCTGAAAATATTTTACTTTCAGTTTGAGAATTAATTTTATAGGATATGCAATGCTAGGTCTCTTCTTTTCTTCAGACCCTTTGAAGGTGACATTCCACAATTAGCTTCTGTTTTCATTTAGTCTTTCATTATTGTATCTAGAAGATACAGCACTTCTTTTTTCTTAATGTGTTCATTTTCATAGCTTCTACTTAACCATATTTAAAGTGTGTTCATTGTTTTTGTAGCATTCTCCTCTTTGGTAGCCCACCCCAATCAGGTTTATTTCTTCTTTGTTTATTCTTACAAATGATTATTATTTCTGAATTTTCATGTATAGTCCTTCTTTTGAAAAGTCCTTTTATTTCCTTCTTTTCTCCCTCTCTGCCTCCCCTTTCCCCTCCCTTCTGCTTTCCTCTCTTCTTTTCTCTTCACCTCCCCTTCCCTCTCCTCTCCTGTACTTTTTTCTTTCTTTTCATTGTCAAGATAGGTCTTGCTATGTTTCCCAGTCTGGTCCTAACTCCTAAGTTCAAAGGAATTTTCCTGCTTCAGCCTCCTAAATAACTGGTACTACAAGAACACATCACCATACCTAATTGCTTTTTGCTTTTTCTAGTAGTCTTACTTCAGTAGGACCTTTATTGCCATAGGTACATTTGTTGATCATGTGGTGGTGATAAAAGATTATCTTCAATCTCCTGTATAAACTAGCAGAAACTTACGTTCATAGTTGTATATGAATTTATAAAACTTACTTTGCCACCCATGTCATCTAGTACCAAAGATGACATGGAAAAGAATGACATAACATGACAAGAATGATATGGGGAAAAGAATGTCTTCCATTAGCTAAACTGCCTCATGCTTGTTTCCTGCCTCCAACTTCAAAAAATGTCCTTTCACTAGCTTAAATCTCCTATATCAGTCTTTTATAGTAGCAGATTCTTTCTTCTTGATGTCTATTTTAACTGCCAATTTCCCTGTTATCTCCAACAACTATCCATATACTTTCTTTTCTCCTCAGCAATACCGTCAGTTTCGCAGTCACAAAAGTTAATGTCAAAAAAAAGTTAATGTCATGTTTTATTTGTATATGTTTGTTTCCCCCATACCCAAAGTTACCAGATCCTTCTTAAGAGATTCTTTAACATTTTTCTTTAGACTTAAACTACCTAGTCTTACTAACACCAGATTTTAACTTATAAACTCATCCTATTTCTTGCACATTGTGTGGGTTGCAATGATAAAAGAATTGCAAACTAGCTCAGGCTGGTGTTGAACTCTCTGTAGCTTCAACTGGCCTCAAACTCACAATACTTTGCTGTAGCCTTCTGAATGCTAGGATTAACAGGCATGCCCACCATCACTGGCTAAAATATTTTTACATTATGAAAATATTTAAAAATTGGGGGCCAAGGATATAGTTCAGTGGCCCAACACTTGCTTGTCAAGTACAAGGTCCTGAGTTCAATCCCCAGTACCACACAAAAAAAAAGAAAGAAATATAAGATACTATTCAAAATACTTCTAGATATGACTCTTTGTTATAAATGTTCTCAACAGGCAATGAACACCAGGGAAAGTGGCAAAGCTTCATCTAGTTTAGGTCTTCAGGACTTCGATTTGCTCCGAGTAATAGGGAGAGGAAGTTATGCGAAAGTACTGTTGGTTCGATTAAAAAAAACAGATCGTATTTATGCTATGAAAGTTGTGAAAAAAGAGCTTGTTAATGATGATGAGGTAAGCAGACTAAAATTTTTGTGTTTCTAAACTGTTAAACTTCTCAAGCATACTATTTCAGAGAAAATCTCAGTGTTTTTACTTTATTATTTTTCTTTTTCTAATTTGTGTTTCAAATAGATTATTATTCAGTTTTATGGTTATGATCCAATTTTTTAAAAAATAGAAATCAAACTTACTATCAGGAGAAATACTTGAGTCTTAGAAAAGTTTTCTAAACCATTTCATAATATTAGAAGTTTACTGGTATTTTTTTTCAGTACATAAATTTTTCTTTCATATTGTCAATAGTCTTTGTATTTAGCCAAGTTAGTTAACAGATGCACTTTTGACAATTGAGTTGCTTAGAACAAATTTATTGTTAGTTTTGATGATTTTGTTTCTGTTTGACATAGATTTCTTTCATATTTTAAAATAGGACATTGACTGGGTGCAGACAGAGAAGCATGTTTTTGAGCAGGCATCTAATCATCCTTTTCTTGTTGGACTGCATTCTTGCTTTCAGACAGAAAGCAGGTAAGATTGAGAGATAAATGGGATGATTAATCAGCTTATACATTTTGATGTATTACACAATGAGGAGCTGTGTGCTGGAGTATGTGAAGTAAAAGTCACAGAAAAGGACACAGTGGTGTTTTTCTTTAACTTCCTGATACTCAGCTATAGTTGGACGTTGGATTAGTATCAGGAATTGATACTGTTTTAGGGAGAGAGAAAAGGAGGGGGGGAGAAGGAGAAGGGAAGGGGAGAGGGAGAGAAGGAGAATGAAAATAATTATGGCAATAGAAATACCACTTGAGGGGCTGGGGAGGTGGCTTAGTGGAATAAGTGCTTCCCTGGCAAGCACAAGGGCCTGAGTTCAATCCCTGGTTCCGTAAAAAAAAAAAAAAAAAAAAAAAAAAAAAAATACTACTTGTTAAATGTTCCCAGGATTCTAGTTTTATAAATTAGTGTTTTCTGGAGTTTAAGTAGGAGAGGAAAAGTCTCAACTTGTTTTGTTTTGCAGTACCAGGGATGAAAGTCAGGACCTTGCACTTGCCAGGCAGGCACTTATGCCATTGTGCTGTCTCCCCAGACCCAAATCCCAACTTCTTTACCTTAAATATTACAGTGATTAAAAATTCCATGTCTAGCAAATGTTAAAAATTAGGTGGGAGTCAGTGGCTCTGGGTTATAAGTACTACTTTAGAGTAGAAATAGCAGGTTACAGAATTTTTATGTTGTTTTTGTTTCAATACTCTAGATATCCTTCATTTCCAGCAAATTCTCAGCATCCTATCAAGGCTAAGCCACAGAGAATGCTCTATATGTTATGTAGTGTTTTAAGTTGTAAAATTACATTGCCTTATTTAGAATTTTGACTTCTTGGGTTCTCTCTTTGGTTTTAGATTGTTTTTTGTTATTGAGTATGTAAATGGAGGAGATCTAATGTTTCATATGCAACGACAAAGAAAACTTCCTGAAGAACATGCCAGGTACATTTTTTAAACATTGTTTCTATTAGATTATTTTTCAGGACTGCATGACTTTATGTGCAGCAGCTTTAAAACAGTATATAAATACTGTATTTTGATGCTAGTTAATTTCTTTGTGAGATATTAGGAGCTAAGCTAAAAATCAATTTACATGACAAATTATAATTTTAGAGATATTATAAATTACTGGTTTTGTTTATTGATGTTTTGGCCTTTGCCACAGATGATATTTTGAATTGTGAACATAGCCAATATGTGTTGTTTGTTCAGCTGAATTTAGGGAAACTACATCTGATTTTTACTCTATTAAAATACTAGTTCTGGTTGTGTACCATGTTTGCTTTTCTGGACTCTATAAAGTACAAAGTACTTGTCTTAAAACTTAGTACGATCTTGTACCACCCAAGCAGACATAAACAAGCTCGGGTGTTTTCACTTTTATTATTTAGGCCAGAAGTCTTTCACCAGTCAGTTGGTGGCAGTTTTAGAAAGTTTATACTTTAGTTTAAAATTTTATGATTGTAGAATAATTTCTGAAATTTTGGTGTAGATTTTATGGTTTGAATAGTCAACTTTTAGTATTCTTGACCTGTTACTAGTTCAGAGGGTTTTTCTTTTGGAGCGGGGGTTTGACCCTTACAGAGGTGATAAAAACTATGGAAACCCTCCAGAAAACATACACATACCCAAATTCGCCCCTAATTTGGGTATGTACACGTACAACTTCCCACAATTCATCATGGACCAGACTAAGAACTCATGCTTGACATTTTCAGATTAATAGCTTTGTGAAAAATGAGTTTAAGTTAAACTTTCTTTTTTGTTTTTTTGTTTTGTTTTGTTTGTTTTTTTGGTGGAACCCGGGATTGAACTCAGGCCCTTGCGCTTGCCAGGGAAGTCCTTATTTTACTGAGCCATCTCCCTGGCCCCAAGTTAAACTTTCATAAATGTGTTTTTTGGGCTTAGATACTTTAAAGTGGTATGCCAATTAAATTTTTTATTAGTTTTAAATATATTGAGTTCACGTCTTAGGTTAATTATGAAAGCACAGGGCAAGTCTGTGTCTGTGCGTACAGAGCACTTTCTGCCCAAGGCCCAGCAACTCTCCCCTAGGCAAGTAGATGAGGGACAGCGCTGCAGCCTAGGACACAGGCCTCGGGCACAGACTCTCCAGTGGTAAGCATATTGGAAAGTTATAAAGAAAATTTTCTGTTGTGATTTTTATGTTTCCAAATGCAGGTAGGACTAAATCTGAAATATCTCTCCTAGAAATTTACCACAATTTATAGTTTTGAATCACATAACTTTTCTTAAATTTTATTTTAGGTTTTACTCTGCAGAAATCAGTTTAGCATTAAATTATCTTCATGAACGAGGGATAATTTATAGAGATTTGAAATTGGACAATGTATTACTGGACTCAGAAGGACATATTAAACTCACTGACTATGGCATGTGTAAGGTGAGGAAATTTTTTACATTATTTTTTGTGAAAAAATAACATTTCATAATAAGAAAATTACAGTAGATATTGCTCTATATGTTATCTTCAAAATAGTTACTCTTAGTATAAGAACATAAGTCACTCAGGACATATGAGAACTTGTACTGTAACATCATGTACCTCGGTAGTATCCCAAATTTTCTGATCAAGAAGATTATGGGGCCAAAGAGGAAAGTGATCGATGA